TGTGTGTGTGTGTGTGTGTGTGTGTGTGTGTGTGTGTGTGTGTGTGTGTGTTATCAAACACACAATTTTCTATTCATCCATTACATGTTTCCAGCCACGCTTTCTGAATTATGAACTGCTTTCAGAAGGCGACGGTTATAAAACTCAGCTACTCATCATAAACAAGACCTCGCTTGCAGCAACGGCATTGTTCGGTAAAACCATTAGTAGCTTTTTGTGCTCTTCATTAATTCAAATGATGGTGTTGTTTTACAACTTGAGATGAGACTCTTATTAAGAGAACATGTACTTTAAACTGGGGCATTGATTGTTTCCATGTTTGGTTCAGTGTAAAGCCTTGGGGTAAAATAAAACATTCAATACTGTCGATACAGCGCAAAAAGTAGGTGTACTTTACGAACTGTTCGTGGTATTCAGATTTAGAAAATTTAACAAGATGTTTTCACGATATTCAACTTTTTGAATAAACTTCAGTACAGAGGGAAATAGATGCAAAGTCTCAAAACACAAATTGTCTGCATTTAGCTTGCTTTTTTTTCTTTTCATGAAATTTTCAGAGCAAGTTCATAATGGTCTTTCAGGCCAGTGTCTGTGGGTGTAGTGGCAATGGGCTTCACCGTCACACGCAGGACACTCTGGTTCGATTCCCGAGTAAATGTTTTAAAATCGAGTATTACTGTCTTTCTCCTGGGATGTTGTATCCCTCTCAGTCTTAGTTGACCCTGACAGATTATCTAAACTGTTCCGAGTTTGTTTGTTTCTTGTTTGGTTGTTTATTTGGTTGGTTTGGGGGTTTTGGGGTTTACAAAAGAAGTAGAGGAACAATTACCATAGTAAGGATTAGGGAAGAAATAACAGAAGTTCCCTGTTGCAGTTCAGGCACAGTTATGAGAATGACATTGATGAATCAACCCATTTACAATTCTACTGTGCATAAGAACAAGTTAAAGTCCCCCCTTTGGGAACGGCCTTAAGACACTTCAGTCAGTGGCACTGCCCGGAAGGGGGGGGGGGTATTCCAGCTCTCACTCACCGGGAAGATTGGTGTCTGCAGACTGCAGTTTAGGACTGTTCCTTCTTTTTGCTGTTTGACAGTCGTTGGGGTATTGAAAAACGATTCACTATAAAATATGAATTCACTGATATCGAATAACGATTACCTACAGTGTCGAATAACTAATAACTATGTGATTAAATATTATAATAAAAGTCTGAAGACAATC